ATGTCCTGTGATTAATTATTAGAAAAATGCTTGGTGCGACGAGAGGAATATTAAATGCGTAGGGATGGGAGGGAAATTATGATAATGGACGACTCTGTGTTCGGGGGACATGTAATTGAATCGAGCTTCCTTGTCTCCAGCCAGCAGTAGTTACTAAAAACTCATTAAGCATTTATGGCCTTCGCTCCACTATTTAAAGAACGTTAAAGGCCCGATGCGGAGGGCCAGAAGTCGACTGGCTCGTAACCGCACGGACAACAATATGTAGCCAATATTAAAATGCATTTTTAATGCACTTTTGCACTTTGTGGTTGCCAACTGTGAGCTCCCTCTCAGGACGGCCAGTTGACTTTGCTTTAATTAAAAAAAAAAAGCGGCCAACGGCAAAGGAAACGAGAAAAAACGTTTATAAGAGCAAACAACAAGCATACGCCCCGTGCGCCTGCGAAATTATTTTCGCAGCCATTTATCAGGCTGTTAGTCGATGAATACTCAATGCTTAATACTCGCGAGTGTTGTCAGCAGTAGCAGCAGCATAATTGCAATTTAATGCACTTTTATTGGCATTCAATGGACTGCAAACGGGCGAGACATCAGCGAGTTCCATTAATTAAAAACCGTTCGCGCACCCCCCGCAGGAACTCCTTTTTTTGCAAATCTCACTTAGAGACAGGACATCCAGAGTGCGGAGCCCGGAGGCCTCGGGCCATGTCACACAGCATCATAAAATTTATTAAAACTGCCCTGCAGTGCCGAAGCTTTTAATTAGAGAGCGTCTGTAGGTAATCCCGAGCTCGCACCTCCAGCTCCAGCTCCGAACCAGTGTTGTTGCATTAAAAAGTTATTCCATCACCATAAATCTTTTGGCTTGCGTTAGGTTTGCATAATTAGCCCTGAACCAGGGCCGAGGAGCGAGGAGCTCGGACATTCCCGGGGCTTGTCATAATTATGCAAAAACAGTGAAACTCAAACGGAGGCAGCCGGCTTCCGTAGGAGAAAAAGTTGACTAAACAAAGCTTTTTGATATCCCGGCTCCACTTTCGCAACATAATTCGTTATTTATGACTTCAATTATGTTTGTCCGAGCCCACACACCCAGGTTCAGAGGTTAAATGGGCGCAGAGAGGCGAACTTAGCAGCAGCTCAAGGCTGGGCCCTGCGCCCTTTGGCACACACACTTGTCACCGCTCCTGACCCCTGACCCCGGAGAAAGTGTGAACGTTTTAATTACCACTTTAACGAAATGTCCACCTCCTTCGGGGAGGGCCCTCCGAATATTCCAATGATAAATTATCCATGAAAGTTACTCCAAAGATGCCCCACGGGTTGGAGAAACTTTCCACAAGTGCCCGGAATGCGAATTTAAAGTGAAGTGTCCTGACCGATTTAAAGCCTGAAACTATGTGGTAATATATGTATTAATGCTCCTCCACACCTCTACGCTGTTGACAGTTTGATTGTGAATTTGTTTGGTTAGATAATGTCAACACTGGGAATGAATAATAAATGCCCCAAGCCAACCTCTGTATTAATAGCAGAGCCTGCATTAAAAATATAGTATTTTTTTTACAGGAGAAGAATTACAGGGCTTACACAGTAAACACAGCAATATTATTAATAAACTTTAATTACCAAAAGTGATTCGTTTTTTGCCCGCCTGGCATTTAAAATGTATGGGGTAAATAAGCCATGCTAAAGCTAAAGCGAATGTGAAAAGTTAAAGCTGATCGGTCAACGGAAAACGGCCAGAAGCTTTAACCAGCTAACCTTGGCTGAGACGGGCCACGTCTTCCAGCCACCATTTGGCAGATCTAACGATGCAGTTCGAGCCACTCTCAGCCTTGGGGCCGGAGTTTTCAGTTGCTGGTCTGTGAAAACATGTTTCCCACTTACGACCAGTCTCTCACACATTTGCATGTGAATGGAATGGAGTCAGGGACGGCGGCAAATGTTGCACTCGGGCGGGTGCTGTGTTGTTGTTTTGTTGGCTTGTCTCTTATGAAAAGCGCTTAGTTGCCAAACTGTTTTCAAAGCCTCGTCAACTGTGCAGCAAATGCACACAAGGCAATTAAATTAAAGACGAAAGGCAAACAGATGGCCGGGTGGACGGGTGGACGGCGGCAGAAGACAAAAAGTTTAACTTTTCAAAGTTAGCCCAAGTTGTATTTTAGCTGGAAACTTTTCCATTCTGCCATTGTCAGCAAGAATTTATGCTTTAATTAGCAAGGCACTCCCGACGTGCCCAAAACGTTGACAAACAATTAGCACCGAAAGTAATAAGCTCCCCCTCTAGTTAGAAGAACCTGTGAGTCACTCCGGCAACCTACATGCCGCTTTTAAAGTCTATCTCTTCAGCAGATCAGTGCGAAGTATAAATAGAAAGCGGAAGCCGGCTTAAAGCCCCGAGCCCGAGTGGGTTCAAAGACACATTCGGGCCAGCCAACCGTAAAAATAAACAGTTAAGCTGAAAAGCCATTGCCGGCCATCTTTTACGGGCTTATGTGCAAATAAATAAAATTATTTTATTCCGCACAGACGCAGTAAGGAGCTGCAAATATAAATAATAACATATTTAGCATACAAATTAGTTTTGCATATTAATTATGCAATTAAACAATGACACGCATATGGTGTTTTTATATCGAACGCAAAGGAGAAAAAACTGTCGCATGGAGCGCATTGAACCATGCTGGGCAACAAGGGTTAAATATTGTCATGTGGATTGATGCAGTTGTGTTAATAGACTGACTTTAATAAATTGACACAAAAAGAGTGATTAAACCCTATTAAATGGCTTTAATAAACGAGCACTCAGGTAAAAAGTTGTTTATTTATTCAGATGCCTCACCGCAAGTCCTTGCTTCTCATGAATTATTCTAAATGGTTTCCACATTAAATTTTCTCCGAAATTCCAACCAGACTTCTCCTCGGGGCCTGCCAACACCAGCGCAAATCAATAGCCTCCATCTATATTGTATTTATACAAACAATTGACAGACGCAATAATTAATTGATTTCGTTGCCAGCTACACAAAATTAATGTCACTTTCGTTAGCATTTACAAGGCGGGCTTTCTACTTATTTTTTAGAAAGGGAGGAAGCTGCCATTTTGTGATTTCCAGCCATTTGTCAAATTTCGCATTCCGCCCACCCACTTCCTCCCGACCACTTCCCACCAAAAAGTCACATAAATTATGAGGCCAAAACCGCAGATCAATTTATTTTGTGGCTCGAGACAAGGCTCCTTCCTTGGCATCCTGCAAAAATGTCAGGCTGGAAGGAAAAACAATTAAAACCCACTCGCAGACACTTTTTATGAGTACCGGCGACGTCTGGCCTCCTGCCTCGCCCGGTCCTCGCCCAGGACTTTGACTTTATCTACCTTTGTCCTGGCGGTGTTGATTTTGATTCGGGCTCTGACTCTGATTTGGCTAAGCGAAATTTCAGCCTGTCTGCATAATTCCACAGCGGTTGATAAATGTCTCGCAAATCGCAGGCGACACTCCTGGCGGCCGGCCAAGAGGCCTTGAATAAATTCGCAAAAAATAGGCAGCAACAACTTCGAGTCCTCCCATCTAGACTGTTTTTTGCTGCGTATATATTAATAACTGTCATTCGCTTGGGCGACCCTCATTGTCCCACTCCCCCAAAAGGGACTCGCTTTGATATTTTTTATCTTTGCTTAAGACATTCATATGTCTCGTAGTTCTGCACTTTCCGCCACAGCTGACGGGGCGTGGGTCCTGTGACGGGGATCCTTTGGCGGTGGCGGGGCTTAGGTGTGGTTGCAACTTTCGGCGCGTGTATATGAAAATTATGTTAATTTAGACTCCGCTTGACTGCGGATCCCGCTGTTTCCGCCTCGTTTTCAGCTGGTTTGTAGGTGGCCCCAGCAGGGATCCTTCTTCGGTTAACTTTGTATTCTAGGGGGCGTTGCAGGGAGTATTCGATGCTGAGTTCGCTTTGCCAGAACTCATATACTCGATATGCTTCGCACAGGGTATGCGCTGCTTCCAGCTTCTTATTTCAGAGTCTTTAACCTCGAAAAGCTTCAGCTGCCACGTCTGTTGCTTGCGTGTGCGCTTTTTTCTGCATTAAATTAGGCATCCTGCGTCTGGCCTGGAATATGTAACTCGTGCTGTCTTCCCCGGTTTGGCAGACGCTGTCATCGTCACAATTTGCGTAAGCTTCCTAAAGGGTTAAGGCCAGAAAGCAAGTTACCGAGGCAGACGGCCGCATATTAATTTTCCCAGAAACATGTTGCACAACGCAACCGCACTCCTTTCCTCCCAAAATACCCAGGACACCCAGCTCACCCAGAAGCCCAGAACATATTATATAAATTGCTGGCTGCAATTTTCGTACAGTGGGCTTCGGTATTGTTTGAATTTATGAGGAATATGGACCGCAATATTTATCACATGTCCAGTGCCAACTTTAACGCTTGCCGTCCATCGCACAAGGACTGCATATCGAGCCCGATTTGGCATAAATTTCAGCTGGTCAGCTGGCAGAGCTTTGCGGTCCGCTTGGCACTCTCTGGCCCGGGCATTAATTATGATAATATTTCTTCGGACTTTAATAAGCACTTGGCATTTGGTTTGCCCGGCCAACCGACCAACCTGTGGGTCGTCGAGTTGCAGAATCTGCCACTCGACTCTGCATTGTCTGATAATTACAATAAGACGCTCATAAGCTCATCGAAAAGTTAAGTGCCAACTGCAGGATGCAGGCTGCAGGCTTCCGCAACCTGCAGTGCGGGGGAGGAGCTCCCAGTCTTGTCTAGTTCGCATTAATTAACTGACAGCTGGAGCAGCAATGGTATTCAAGTGGCTCCTCAAATAACTCTCCGCCCTGAACAGCCGAATGTGTCCGTAATGCGGACAACAAGTGTAGATGTTTGCATTGTAAAGGGAAACTCAAATTGGGCCATAAATAATGCAAATGTTTGTGTGCTTGACTTGAAGCTAAAAACTGGCAGGCCATTCGAGGTGCCCGGGGAGGTAATGAGCTTATTAATAACTTATGCCATGCATTTAACATCGAACTACATAATTCAGGCCCGATGCTCGGCAATCCCTGATTTGTAGCTCACTTTCTACACAAAATTAAATAAAACGAGACACATGTCGTTGATCCAGCTGCTCTGCCTGATTCTACTCCCAGTAGCTATTGAGGGAAACGTGACCGTGGACCAGGACAAGCCAGGCTACAGCCACCTGAGTTCGTTTCTGGTGTCCTTGCGCACTGTGAGGTACGTTCGCCAGCCGGGGGACAACCACTTCTGCACCGGAGTCCTCCTCACAAACCGCCATGTCCTGACCGCGGCCCACTGCGTTACAGAGTTGGTGTATTTAGTTTGAAGCCTAGTCCTCAGTACACTGTCCTTCCCCTAACCTCAGTATAATGGGAATCCTGATGAATCCACACCGAATTAGGGCCGTCATCGGATCACGTTTCTTCGGAAACCCGGAACCCGTGGAGATAATCTCAAGAATCGATGAAATACACGTCTATCCGCTTTACCAAAGAAACAAACGGGACGACATAGCAGTCCTGCGTTTGAGGAAAACCCTCAACTTTGACGAAAATCATTTGGCCAAGGTAATCATGGGAAACTCTGAGCTGGAGGTGGGCAGGGATTGCAAGACTGTCGGCCGAAACTTTGGTGTCAGGGTGGGTGCTTGCCTTAGACTTATGCTATAGATCACTGTAACAGCAATTTTTCGAACCTAGAGGCATAGATACAACACGACATATCCTCTGCGATTCGCAGATGTTCAGCTCCGACCTCTCATGGACTGCAAAAACTCCACCGAAATTAAGGAGGAGATCGATCCCGAGGACGAGGACCTTATGTGCGTCAACCGTCGAACGAAAAACTACTGTCCCACCGACTTCGGAGGTCCCTTATTCTGCGACGGCCAGCTCTACGGCATTGCCTTGGGCGCCATCAACTGCTCCGAGAGCAAGCCCATCGCCTTCAGCTACTTGCCGACCTATACGAGCTGGCTGGACGAGGTTTGCCGGGGATCGCAGCTGCTGAGCTCCCAATGGCCGCTGCCCCTCACATTCCTTATCTGGGTTTTGGTCAACTTTCACTACGGTTTGGGGCCAGGGCTTATCTAAATCTCTCTTGAGGAAAACTCACGAAAAGCATCCACCCCTTGCAATTAATCGAAAATTGGGGGGATAGCCCTAGGAAACTTTCGCCTGCAATCCACCTGTTAAGTGCCACGTGTGGCAAATGCCACACTTACTTTTGCCAGCGACTTTCCTTTCGACTGTAAACACAGTGATTTCGACAACGGCTCCAAACTTTGCAACGCTGCATAAATCAGAAGAAACTGCCGAAAAAAGCTTAATAAATTTGTACATAAAACATGATTGATAAAGGCCATAAATAATCCCAATAATAAATAGAAAATTGGTCAGAAAAAAGTAAAAGGCCGCGACACGGCAATTTGATGTAACAACCAATCACTATTAATGGCCACGAAAAGCCGAAAAGGTAAAAGAAATTGCACACACACGCGAGATACTGATTTGGCCAAAAAGAAAAGCCAACAGAAGTTAACAAAAACGAGTTTGGCGCTCGCCGCTGAACTCCCATTGACTTTGGGGCCAGTGGAGACCTGGACCGGTTCTGTCAGTGGCTCAGTGGATGGAAAGGCTGCCATAAATCAGCAATAATTATCTTTTTTGTTGTTCTGCAATTGGCCGAAATGCAGGTAGCTCCGTATCACAATAGCTGATAAATCGATGCTGATAAATTGAAAATTACGAACACAATGGGATGCCGGGATGATAAGCTCTGACGAAAATTGTTCAGATACAATACATACCCACATGACTGCATACGGCATTTGATTTTTCCTTCTCTCCTGTGGAAATTGCATACCAATTTGCGGTGCATGGAGGACCGAGCCATGGTATCTGCCACTTTTCTTCAGCAATCCTAGGAACTGATGGGAACAATGGGATGAATATACCGGAATGATGTATATTAAAGTTAATCCTTTGTTGACTTGTTCAAGGCATTAAACAAAAATAGCCCAAAATAGTCCACTGCAACCCAATCCTCTTCCCTGTAGAACGCTCCACCAGAAATCAAAGTACCCGAATCGAAAAATTATAGTCAAAATCACGTTCTACACAAAAGACGCTTACGTGGCCAAAAAATGGAAACAATAGCCACAACATGGAGCGTGCCAGGATATGGAGTCCCAAATCTGAGTTGATTTTTATTGGGACGAGCGAGGGGCATTAAATTAAATCTATTTGCACAATTTTTAGAGGGGAAAAGTGAAGTGAAATGATTTCAATAGCCACACATGGGCAGCAAAAATGAAATAAAAATCACTCTTCACTTCATGTTGGGGCAAGAGTTTCCGCCAAGGCACAGCCACTGAACCGGACAACGATGCTTTGTGCCACAAGGCGGCACTGAAAACTGCAGACACGGCACCAAACAAGGAGCAAGACAGGAATAGGACGGGAGACACTCCACCGAAATTCTCGCCAGAGCTAAATAAATAAATATCACTGGACAACGGGAATGGATAAAAAATAGATTTGTGCGGTGAATAAACACATGGACATGGATATGCAGGAGGAGCGTATGTCGACACAACGTCTCGAATCGGTGGCGTTGGATTTCATAGTCGGGAATGCGACATTGCCCAACTTTAGCTCCGGACTCCGGACTCAGCTTGAACGTTTTTGTGGACTTTTCCTTTTGTTTTTATTCCCAGCACCAGTTCCAGTACCCAGTTTGTTGCAATCCTCGTTTTATTTGCGGGGGAGTGTGAAACGATTTTTGCTGACTCCTGAAATCCAAGCTGCAGCTGAAGTTCTCGGTGGGGCAGGGCGAAACTTTAGTTTTTTCACATCCCTAAGTGGTTTTATAGAGGGTACAAATTCGAGTGTGAATAAAAAATGAAACAAAAAGTCGCTTGCGCAAAAAAATCTCTCACAACTCAATTGTCAAAAGTTAAGCGACATCTCCATGGGGCGGTCGAAAAGTTTCCGATTACACGGCCAGCTGGCTGACCTGCTTTCCGAAGGCGCATGCAAATCCAGCGTCCAACAGCAATCGTGCAGTTTCCGGCTGACCAAACAAAACTTCACCCGGCCGGCCCGTCACTCAGGCCAACAAAAAGCGCAGCGGCTTCGGTGGAAGAAATCAATTCGCTTTTGGCCAGCTGCAGACGGACCTCCTCTTACAATGCCCCCCTTTCTCCGGGGTGGCAGCTGTTGTTGCCCCACCCAGTGTTGATGCCGCAAATTTGCAATTTGTGGCTTTCATTTACAGAAATTAGACTGCTCACATGTCCGAAATAGCCAATGTGTTGGCCAGAAAGGCGATCAGCCATAAAAGAGGTTTTTAAAATTATGTTTAATGGGATCTTTGGATCTCTGGAATTGCTAATTTGAGAGTCTTAAATACCCATTATTCTTTGCTTCCACCGGGTACTTAATATCCACCACTTATCCCCAACATCTTTTTAACTTTCACTCAACTCTCACACAATCTAGAATTAGCTCAAATTAAATCCGAAGCTCTTTCCTGAATCTTTCCAATCCAAAGCCCAAATTTCATTAGAAATTATCCTCTCCGGCCAGGGGCACATTTATTCGCTTTATCTCAACCGCCAAAGCCAAAGTCAAGCAAACAGGCAAACAAACAAACAAGCCGGAAGACCCATTCTATACTGAAACGTTTAATACCAAACTTAGAAAATTACTCAAATGTCTTAATTGGCAAATAGAAAATGCCAAAAAGAATTCCGGGCAACTGCAGTTGGATGGAACTTTGCGGAAACTTTTCGCAACTGCCACTGCAACTGCAGCATTGTGAGTGTGGAGCATTTCAACAGACTGAGTGCAAACACAAAAAGCCAGGGAATAACTTAATTGAAACTTAATGAGAAAATGTACCCGCATTGTTTGCAACTGAGATCTCGGCGCCTGCGATGCGTATCTTAAAGATGCAAACGTGCAGGTGTCTGTGCGCTAAATGCGACAGTCATCCGCCTGATTGCCGTGGAACGTGCCGCTTTGGCAGACAAAGACCCTGGTCAGATACCAGATACCAGCTATAGATACATGATACATTGCACAACAGCCACTAACGTAATCGTCTTTTGTCTATCTTGCAGATGCGCTCACCTGGGCCCAGGTGAATGTGGAACCCAACACAGCGCTCCTCAACGAGGGCGATCGCACCGAGCTGCTCTGCAGGTACGGGCGCGCCATCAACTACTGCCGCATCGAGATCCCCGGCGAGCAGCGCGTCCTCAACCTGTCCCCGGAATGGAGCAAGACGCCCGGGTTCACATACTTCGGCTCTGGCCTGAACGCCGGACAGTGCGGCGTGAGCATCGAGCGGGTCAAGGGCATCAACAACGGTCAGGTCAAGTGCAGTCTGGGCGTCGAGGGTGAGGAGCTGTCGGGCACCATTGACTTGGTGGTGGCATGTAAGTATCTCATTGCCGAATGGTAAGAATCTTGTAATCATAACGCTTTCCACCGTTTTGTAGTGCGTCCTCATCAGCCAATTATCGAACTAATCAGCAAGCCCAATCGCGATGGCTTCTTTATCGAGGGTACTCCGTTCCAGGGCCGCTGCAGCGTCCGCGATGGCCGCCCACCGGCGAACATCTCCTGGTACATCGACAACATGCCCGCCAACAAGCGCACCAGCGAGCTGGAGATCATCACGAACAACGTCAACAACGTGGAGCTGTCCACCTCCGTCCAGGAAATCCAATGGACTCTCTCCGCCGAGGACAGCAACAGGAAGCTGGTCTGCCGCTCGCACCACCAAACCGATCGGGAGAGCGTTCCGCCCCAGGAGGCCGCCTATATCATCAACGTTCGATGTGAGTATCCGGGATTAGAGACTAAAATCTGAGAAAGTACCTATATGGAATATGAATCCTTTTAGATGCCCCCGTCCACCAGTTTGAGGAAGCCTTGGTCTACGGCCTGTATCTGGACCACACTGCCATCGTGAACATTACCATCCGGGCCAGCCCGCAGCCCAAAATCGAGTGGACCATCGACGGAACCGTCATCGGACAGGGTCGCAGCGACGGGCGGTACTCGGTCTACGAGCCACAGTACCTGGGCAACGACGAGTACAACGTGACCCTGGCCATTGCCGGACTGACGCTGGAGGACACCACGAAGACCTACACCCTGAAGGCCTCCAACGAGCTGGGCGCCACCGAATACAAGGTGCGCATTAGCTCGTCGAGCAAGCCGCCCAGCAGCAACCTGGATGTTGCCGCCATTGTTGGCATCGTTGTGGCAGTCGCCGTACTGGTCCTGGTCGTCCTGCTGATTCTGTTTGCTCGTGCCACCGGCCGGTGGTGTTTCGGCGGTAAGTAGAGTGCAGAAAAACATTCCAAAACGGGTTGTTGTGCCGCATACACACAATTTTGCTTATTTCGTGGATGAAAACATCATCATTGGCCTCTCAGACAACAAACAACAACATCATCATCATCATCATTACTATCAACCCGGCACTATTGTTCCATCATCAGCTATGCTAACAATTTCTGGCTTTAGGTTCTCCAATCCACCCAATTCACCCAGTTCACTCACCCACTCTGCCCATCACAGCCACTCATCCTGCAATTCATACATGTTCTGGTTTTTCGGGGACCACAAGCCGTTGTTAACTTTCGGCACATTGTGCGGCTTTTAAATTTTAATTAGCGTTAACCTAGCAGAAGGAGCCACCCAACAGAGAATGGGTAGAGGCTCCAGAAAGCTCATCTAATTAAAAAAAATTTCACTTGACTTTGCCGGCGAGTTGCGCTGGAAAAGCACATACGGCCGGAAAGGGTCTTGGAAAAATGGGAGGTACGAGAGACGTAATTGCAATGTGGGCCATGTGAGTGAAAAAAGAATGAAAGGTTTACAAAAAAATAATAACCAGCGGTTCAGAAAAATACAGGGCACACGTTGGAGTTAATTTAAAGAAGCCCCAAGATAAAAAAAACATAAAACTAAAAGATGAAATTGTCAAAAAATAATTAAAAGTGTTCGGAAAGTGTAAAAGAAGTGGGTGCACCGGGAGATACCTTCTTAGTTCTATAAGTGGTAACAAATTGTAATACTCTCTTTGAGCCAAAGTGTCTACAAATGACAACAACAAGAAGAGCTAACATCAAAAACGAAAATTGGTCACTAAAAGTAGTGCTTTGGAAACACTACAATCTAAAAATGTTTAAAAACTGTTTGATGCTTTTTATGTTAACTATAACTTTGTAAAAACTATAACTCTGCTTCTCCACGAGAGTCTCGCTTGATAAGCTTCCCGGTAAATGGACTAACCCCAGCTCTAATACGGATAATTGGTGTCTTTGAGATCGAAGTCTTCTCTGTCTCTCTCTCTCTTTCTGTATCTTTCTCTCTTTCTGTCTGCACACAAAGCTAAATGTTAGTTCTTGTTGTTGTTGTTTTACAGGCGCCACTCTGAACACGGATATCGGTCCCGATTCGGAGGCACAGATCCATCCCGAAATAAACGACGACGAGGAACTAGATGGTCGCGATAATGGCGATGAGCATATCGATACCACCCAGCAGTCGGAGGAGGCCACGCCCCCCGTCACTGACAAGCTGGAGGCGCAAAGGAAGGCCGATCTGAAGAAGAGTGCGGCGGCCACGGCGGCGGCGGTCATAGCCGCCGGAAATGGCAGCCAGCACAACTTGAACGGCAGTAGCATCGAAGCTCCCAAGCCGCCAAACACATCCGTTTAGGATGGCAAGGCCGCCTCCCTGATAAAGAAGGCGTGGCTTTTTGGCCAGTTTTGCTGTGTGCCCTATTTGCTGAAAGCAAAATGGAAAAGAAACAAACCTACACGACCCATATCTTCTTACCATACACACACTTGTTCAAATGTTTCTCAAATACTGCTCTCTAAAACGAACCAGAAAATCTCAAAAAGCTCACAATGAATGGGAAATAATTAAACTATGCTAATATATTAAAAAGCAACAAAATCTTAACTTAGGCCAAGTATCTTTAAGTGACCAGTTTTCGTGAACCGCGAATCTCGAATACCTTAAACTTTACCTTGCCCTCTCGAATAATTATTATCAAAATTTACAACATTAGTGTATTATACTTGATTTTTGTCCATTATTTATTTAAGCTATCTGACCTGCCACCAGCAGTTGCATTTTCTATTTGTTTTTGAATCTTGAGTACCATTTTGGCAACCCAATCGATTGATTCTTGGCAAGCGTAACAACTAGAAAGTTAAATGGATGTGTTTATGATATATTTTAATTAGTTATCCGCTTCTCACTTTCATTTTTTTTCTGTTCTCTTGTAATTTTAGTAATTTTGTAAAGTGAAAAACAAAAAAAATAAAATGAAAAACTACGAAATATACATTTTTTTTTGGGAGGCAAACAGTGATGCGATGATGAAGATGATGTTGTCTAGGGTGGGTTCTGCCAGCTAAAGATTTAGCTTTCCTCATCATGAATCCATTAATCCATGATCCATGATTAAAATTTAAACTATGATATTTGGTATATATTTTAAAAACAATCTCTTTTATTTTCTCCCTCAGGAAAATCCATCAAGACGCCCACAAATGAAACGTAAGTACAAGCACTCACCTTCACTTGCCTAACAATGTCAAAATAAGTTCAAAGTGCCAAGAATTAACGGGGCCAGGCCATAAGCATACAAAGTACTCCCCTCTCCATGGATGATCCACAACTAACCCGTTGACGGTATCTGGTTTGCTTATTTGTTTCACTTTCAAAGCCATTGCTCTGATTTACTCTAATATTATTGCGTAGTTCGGATGTGTGTTTGTTTGTCTACTTGCATGTGTCTCTCTCGTCGAGTGGCTTTAATTTTCGTATTTAAACTAACTATCATCTCATAGACTTAGAAGCAGCTCATATTCATCTAGGTTAGTTAATGGTTCATTTTGGCATATAGTCCATCTAAAGTATGTTTAAGCACACCACACAACAAACACAATACACCACACACTCCACCTGCCGCCGCAGTCTCGTGTTTCGTCCTGTATCTGAAAATGTTAATGCTTTAAGCAGCTCTGAGTTCAAATTCCAAATTTAAAATTAAATCACACACTCACACCCATCCACACACACATGTACACACTCTGAACTTTCACATTAAAACGCTCGCTAGTCGCTCTGACACGCCCACTTTGCTAGCTCGCCCGCCGCCCACCAGCAAAGAAGAAAAAAGTACAAAAAGAAATGTTTGTTTGTCAGTCTCTGTCTATCTCGCCCGCTCTGTCTCTCTCTTACCCTCTGAACATCATAAGTTATCTTGCTCTGTCTCACGCATTTACTAAAAACGTCAAAAATGTCGCCGTCCAAGTCATTCTGCAAAAAAACGTACAAAAAACTAGACTCTAGAAGCAACAAAAGCATAGAACGAACATCTCTATAGTTTTAGAGCCACTCTGCTAATGCATCACAAAAAATAAAATATCAAATATTTAAGAAACCCCACAAAAACCAAAAGAACCAGAAACAAACTTCTTGCTATGTTTTGTCTTCTTCTACTACTTTCATATGGACAACAACGACCCACAAACAACACCAACAATCAACCTAAAACCACTGACTAAAATGTTAAAAAAAACTTTCCCCTGAACTTCTTCTTAAAATTGTAAAATGCAAATTGAAAACCTCAGTCAGATCGACAAGCAGCTCGAGCTGGGCAGCCACCAGGAGAACCATGGCCAGAATGTGGCTCTTCTGGAGACCCCTAATGGCATTACGTTGTTGGGCGCCAGTAAACTGCGCGAGGCGAATGGCAATGGCAATGGCACCGGAAACGGAAATGGAAACGGAAGCGTTCGGGACAGTCTTTCGGTGGAGAGACGTAATCACGACGAAGACGATAGCTTCGAGTATGGCACCGATCGGGAGAGCAGTGTCTATAACCCCACGACTCGTCCTCTGAAGAGTGTCCTGATGAGTCAGGCGGGGGGACGCAATTCCCGCAGCTCGACGACCAGCGACAAGGAAGACGGAAACGAGAACGCGGACCTCCTGCAGAAAGGAAACCAACTGGGCATCCCCGAGTCTCGATTTTCGCGCTGGCTACCCAAGGATCAGCGGGAGCTAATCGAGAAGCAGGCGATGCTCCTGTCCGGCCGGACCGCCAAGGCGCCGGCGACCCCACCGAAGCCCCAGAAACCACAAGTGACGGCGGCAACTACGAATGTCACGCAGACGAGCACCAACACAGCGCCGACGCGGCTAAAGCTGCCACAGGAAACGGAAATCTGAGCGTGTGTGCACGTGTGTGTGTATGCGCGTGTGGCGCTCATATTTATTTATTCCTTTTTTTGGGTACAGGAAGCTGCAGAATTAGGGCCGGAGCGTTTCAGGCATTTGGGAAGTGAGAGAGACTGCCAGCAGCCACCTAAGTTTAAGAAGAATTTAATGTGAAATATTACTAAAAACAACACAATATCTGACAAAAGATTAACTCAAAAACGTTGAAATAATATTTAATTCATAACCCATTGTTAAGGCTGAAGGTGAAGTCTCTTGCAACCCAATTAGCCTCAGAAACAGACTCCAAATTAGGTTTTAAGCCACAACTCATGAAAGTTTCCTCCTCCCACAACGAAAACAAAAACCAAACATACTATGCAAGCGTAACTATGCAACTGATTCATATATTTGAGATTGTTGTCGGCATGAAATTAAGTTTTATCGAATACGTATTAGTGGAGAGCGTTTGCATGGCAAGCATGAAACGAAATATTTATTGTAGTCACTGTAGAACAAGTCATCAAGTCGAACATGCGCAACATAAAGTGTTCATCCTTTCAGTGCACACTGTACTTTACGATTTAAGAGCTATTTTCCTTAGTTTTCGTTTTACGATCGACTCGATTTAAGTTTTGTTCAAGTGCAGTCTGCAGACTCAAAAATAAATCAAATGTTGTTTAAAAACAAACTAAAACAATACCGACATACCGTAGTTAGGATCTTTTGATACAAGTTGTTTTTCCTTTATTACTTTACAAAACTTATGTTTAATATTTAATTAACAAGAATAAAAAACCCGGTTCGCATTGGGATGAGTTTTCTTTTATTTGCGAGTATGTGTTTATTTTGCGAATGGTGTTTGCCGCTGTGTGACTCTGTACGTCTGTGTGTGAAAAGAATAAATTCTATGAAATGTAAAGGTATTATGTAAAGTTCACTGCCAACCTGAAAGGAAACTCTAACAAAGCAGCGTATCAAAAAGGAAATTCCCCGTACAGCATTTTCCACATTTTCCATAACAAAAGCAATATCATTAAAATACAGCAGCAGCGTTTCATGCAATAAACATTTCATATATATGAGAGACTAACACGCCAGGCCAAAAACCAATTCATACACGAGCACGAACACCCGGAGCTACACTCACACAAACTCTGACACACACAGACACAGGATAGGTAAATGTATCTAGCAGATACTTGTTGAACTGGCCCAGACAGCAGGCAGACATTCAAATGAGCCAAAAATATTTATAGAATATAGATGAAACTCATTTCGGCAGGCGAAAGCAATTTACTTGGTCAGCATGGGTTAAATGAAGGGGAAAATGTGTGCGAGGAGGTGCAGTGGGCCAGGACCCATAAAGGTCAAATCCGAATTTAATACTCCATATGGCCAATTCTCTGTGTATTAGGTAAATGAAACCCCCTGTTAGATTAGCTCGGACCCATTTTGAAAATTAGTTTGCCCCAATTACATGGGATTCAGGTGGAAAACTTTGAATTCCAAGAAGCCATACAAGAGAATTTAAATTCCTAAATAGTTACCAAACTTTGCCGTCTTCAAATATTTGCCTTTGCTAACACAACTTGGTTTTAATGGTGCCACACACACATACAAACAGCAATAACAATTACGCAATTACCACTAACAACCGCCAGATAGGACGCGTCTAATTCCCCCTGAAAACTCCCTCAGCCAACCACTCCAACTAACCCACCTGCTTTTATGGCCACCTTTTATTATTTTTTCCCGGGGAGAAAACTTCACACAACGGCAATTATTTTGACACAGTAATAAGTAGAAAATACCAAAAAAACAAACAAAAAGAAATCACAACACTCTCATATAAAAAGCAAGAATCAAAATCATGAACCCATCCAAAACCTCCCACAATTTCACAATCGACAAGCAGCAGCGACACCGAAAGCGCCGACATAAAGGCCACCTCAACTGCAACAGCCACAACGGCCACCACAACGACCATGGGCACCGGGGGCGTGGCAGCCGGGGAGGCGGAGGACACGGCCAACGGTGGCGAGCAGGACCAGCAGCAACACGAACAGCCGCAGAAGAAGGCCAAGAGACTACCGGCTTTCGCCGCTGCGATTCTGAAGCGCTTCAACGAAAAGGATACAAAGAAAAACAAGGATAAGGATAACCAAGAGACGTCCAATATCGTGGAGGGAGCCGAGCTGGATAATGCTATCGATGGGAATGACAATGAACCAAAGGTATTAAAAAACGTCCCCCACCCGACTTTCCAAACCCTTTTCCCTTTTTTCGAGCACACAGAACGAATCATTTTTGTCACTGAATACCTTAAACAGATTATTTCTAATTTTTTCCAAAGTCTCCCCATGTGCTTCTTATCATTTTTATAAAAAAGAACAAAAAAAGGGTGGGTTTTTTTCTCGGTGTGTATTTTTTGTTGTGTGCGTGTGAGCGAGTGAATTACCCTCTAAGCTTAGCCTAGTCCGTATCCCCCGAATGCAAGCTTCCAGCAAACAACTATGATTTCTCGATTATGATTTCCTTTGCTCTATTATCGCAACTTTTCTACATTGTAATTTTCACGCCGTTTTTCTGCTCTTTTCCGTTCAAACAAATCGAACCGCATGCAAATAAATACTATTGTTGTAATACTCTTGTATATATGCAAATAAAGGCTATAGTTTGGCAGAGCACCTCACCAGTGTGGACATTTAAGTAATGAATCAAAGACCAGACAGGTATAGCAAACTTCCCTAATAAAAGCGCCCTTGAACATAAAACTCCTTGGAAGAATTTTCCGAATAGAGCCAAATACTAATAATTTTCATTACAATTTCTTCCCCAAACTCTAGCAAGACAAACAACTCGTCTATGCTGAACTTGTACTAAAGCCAGCCAACGAAACAACAGCAGCATCTGCGGCGCTTGCAACAACTCAAGCCGCCGGGGCAGCCACGGCAGCAACATCTCCCGAAGAACCTGCCGGTGGCAAGAGCTCGACGGAGTACGCCGAGATAGTCTATGTGCAGAAGGGGGGCGACGACAAAAAGTAATCCGGCCCCACAGAATCAAACCGTGTGAGGCTGTCAGCAACAAAATAAAAAATTTAAGCACAAGAGTAGCACGATGAGGAGCAGCAGTTACAGAAAACAACAACCCAATGCAACATAAACATACACTTTATACTGATATTAAGAACGTGAAAAAAGCAAAAACAAATAAAGATTTGTCTTAAGTGGTTTTTCAAAAACTTCTTGAATGTGTGTACTAAAATCTAATGAAATGTGAACCTAAAACGTAAAGCAACTTAAATCTCAGCACAGAAATCTCGACACAAGACACGCCCTGCAATATGTCACCCTTCTCCCCTCCCAGCCCACACATTAAATCAAATTTACAAAAAAAGAAAAATAATAATAATAATGAGAAATAAAACCTTAAAAAGCTAAATAAATATTTGCAGAAACAAACTATATATAAATTAAATTTACATACACATAGGCATGAGAAGAAAGCATTTGAAATCTCAATTATTTACATAAATGTCTCGCAATTAAGCTAAATGTAAAGTTAAGACAAGAAGCAAACAAATATTCAAATTAATTAGATGGTCCCTAAATTATTTCTACGCAGGCATTTTGTACCGATTCGAATACATTCGAATACTCGAAATTAACGACCGTTGCAACCTAGGCTGCCAGAGCAAAGCATTTAATCTAGAAAGGAAAATAAACAGATCTAAGCCGCGAAAAATTCACCGAAAACGTGTACCAACCGAAAGTATTTTATCATAATTATTATTTTGTATTCTTGTCTCCCTAATATCTCCATCCATTTTTCATAAACTGGCAATTAATGTTATGAGTTTACACAATTATCCATCAACGGATAACTGGATAAGTTAAGTGCATAAACGATGATTTTTTGTATTATGTAAGTTATAATTTGTATAAAGTTAAGCGAGGATGAAACTTTTTTGAATAAAATTCTTTACCATATGAAACGAGTGCCTTTTGCTGCAGCAGATCGTCCAAATAATTGAATTTTATGGCAATTACCTCCGGGGCATGCACGCAAGTCGAACAGTCAATGCAACATGTTTACGTATGCTATGGCTTTTATTTAACTAAACATTTCTAAGCCATCAGGATCAGGTGCAGGCTCTGGCTTATGTAAGTAATGTCAGGGCTGGGACAGGCAATTTGGAACTGATGTACTAGCTACGGGCCACAATTGCAGTGTGGCATCCTGGTTTGGCTCAGACTGTCAGCTGCACAAAACTATAGCATACTTATGGGCTGAAGCTGATCTGAACAAATACCGAACCGGGCGATAATCCTTCCGAATTATTCATAGCTTCAACCGGCGAAAAATATGCGAAATATAATAATAATGAAATAAAGAGCAGTCTTGTATCTGGCTGTGTCAGTCACTCCGTCAGTCTTCCTCAACTTTTTCTGACATTTCAATTTATAAAGCTCAAAATCTGCGCGTTACCCGAAGCGTCGCACTTTAGACAAAAACAGAGAGAACGTCTGGAATATTTTATTTTTTTTTCAGAACTAGAGGGTGCTGGCTTTTTACTCTTCTGCTCGGCTAGCTCTGCCACGACAGCTTAAAAGTAAAATACAATTTTCCATGTTTTTGTCTCGTTCTCTGGCCGAAGGCAAAAACATTACCAAGAATTGACTTTTCAAAACGAGTTGCAGCCTGCAACTTCCTTTAATTTTGCTCCAATTTAACGTCCGTCCAGCTTATGAATTTATTAGTTACGAAATACAATTCAATTTCTGACGAAGGCCCCTTCGCCGCCCCTGGCCATCCGCTTACCTGGTAATCTATAGCTCTCGGCCACACGGCATTTTGTTAATTATGTAATCAGGCTTAGAATACGCGGCGCATTAATTTCGCTTAATTAGTTTGCCATTTGAAACCGAGTGACTGCAGCCAGCTCGAAATTCAGCCCACGTTCGCCGACTCTAATTGCATATTAATAAACAATGTCCCAGGCATTGATTCAATTACCAGTTAACCTACGGCTGGCCATAAATATTCGTGTGTGCACAATGCCAGTTTATAGTCCTCTAACTAACCACATGCGTCTAACTCCTGACTCCGTAATTGCAGGATCCCTCAATCTGCATTCAAAGTTTTCGCATTCCATGTGCAATGGGGCAATAACAACAACGACGGCAGTACTCATTAGAAGAATACACAGGACTCGGGGAGGCGAGAGTCCGTCTTCTGCCAAAGTCAAATAGAAACCAAACAAAAATCAAAAATCAGAGGCTGGCAAAGTGAAGACACAACTGAGAATACTTGGGGAGTGGTTGGAAACAAACAAACATCCAGAAAATATATGGAAAAAAGTTGTTGAAACATTCTCCTTGGAGCAGATTGTACCTGTCAACGGTGCGGATACACAATGTGCTAATCCAAATGCAAAGAGTTCCAAAGGAGTTGCTCGAAAGTGTTCTCAGAACTTTGTCCCAATTACCCTAAATTTTCCCTAAATTGTGTGACAATGGCTGTCCTTATTTCAGTTATAAAATAAAAGCTCTTTTTTAATCCTTATAACAAAATAGTTTGGCTAATAAGTAATTCAATTCTGGTACAATCTTTTTTCTCACTTTCCACCAATTCAATTCCATTCAATCAACTGCCATATAACTTCTTGTAATTCAATTCCGCCAAAAGCTCGCCATCCATCAGCTGTTCCGGCAAATCCTTATCAGAAGCTTTCGTTCCACTCGGCCAAGGTCCTTGCTGAATAAAGAGAACAAAAGAAGGGGAAAGAGTTTTTGTGTATTCTAAGCTTTTAATTTAAGACTCCCTTAAAACAGAAGCTTTTAAGAGAGAGCTCCGCAACCCCAGTGGTTCTTAAAGGCTTAAAGTGAGTTAATGTGGCTGGGAAACTGAACAATTGTGGCAATTACAGCGACAGTCACGCCAAATGGGATAAGCTCTTACAGTGCCCACAACCTGGCTAAGAGCAAGTGTCTTGGCCGAGAAAAAGAGACACCGATTTAAAGAAATACGAAGCCCAAAAGGAACTGTGCCACTTGAGTAGTCAACAAGCTTTTTCCAGTGTCCTTCATGATTTGCTCTGGCTTGTCCGATTGCCTGTGTGAGGCAAGGATTTGAGCAACAGGTCTGACTTTAAAATTCCCACATCCTTCCCCGAAAAACTCCAATCTTTAGAGCTAATACTGCCTCGATGTTCAGACAACCTATTGCATAGGAATAGAATTATTACCCTTTACATGCAAATTAGACAAACTTTTGCCGACCCTCCTGAAGCTGCAATTACGCTTGATTACCAAGAGAGTGCGTAAATTAAAACTTGAAGTACAACAAACCAGAAAGTGGCAAAGAAAAGTTGAGTTGGTCAAAAGGAAGACCACAAAAAAATATTTAGAACCCGTCAGCACAAAAACAAGCTGTTCTGCCTCTCGAAGGACTACAGGGCGCATACTTAATTTTATTTCGAGCTATTTACTTTCGCCTCCCCCGAAAACACAGACCTTAAATATTTGTGGTTTCAATAAAGCAGAGGAAGAGACTAAAGTGCGTATATTTATAAACGCCTTTCGCAGAAGGGACACAATTAATTACTGTTTGGCAGGAAAAATCCCAAAGAAAAGTCAAGCAGTAAGCCCAACTGTGCAACAAGTTAAACTTTTCGGCCAAGTTCGGTCAGTGGTAATGTGTGTGTATGTAAATGCTTATATAAGAATAAATAATAAAGGGAGAACAAAAATGCTACACAAAGTATCAAATAAACTTTGGCGTTGCGGGGCCAGCACCTGGCCAGGTGAGAATGAAGGTGATGAATTTGATTGGGCAACTTTTTGGCTTCAATGAACATGAGTTTTGGACAACAAGAAGGTATTTGTATCATTTTAATAATGAATATTAAATGAAGGAGTTTAATAAATCACTTACCCTTCGTTAGACTTACATCTAAAATAAGTTTAATTTTAAACACCTTAACACTTGAAGTCATATTTTCATTTTCCATTAATGTATAACTTTTCTCCCAAATCTTTGTCAGGAGTCCACATAATCCGGGGACTTCGTCCAACTCGACTGACACTTTCGCTATCCATTCGGAAAACCCTTTTCCCTTTTCATCTACTTATTTCATGGAACATTAAGCATTTATCCCCAAAAATGTTTGACCCCCATAGGGCGACCGCATATTTGTGGCTATTTAATTTTTTTCTGGTGCTATTTGCGTTGTGTTTTCATTACATATTTGCGTGGCATAACATTTGCCATGTAAACGCCAGCACGGAATATTATTTAAATGCTTGGCGCGGCAAAAATGGGGTATATATTTATAATGAACTGCAGGTGGCTTTGCACCTCCTCCTGGAAAAAGGAGGCCACAAATCTAGAGCAGCTGAAAGGGGTTTCTAGCTAGTTCAGAGGCTTTTAGCTTTCACTATTCTCTATTCTGTGTTCAGTGTTTGGTGTTTGGTGTGTTTGCGGCCATTTTCAGTGACATTCAATTTTCAAACTGAAATACTTTTCCGGCTGCGGCTTTGAGCGCGGAAATTGAAAATGTTATGCTGCCGGCCAAAGAAAAATTCAATGTCTAAAAACTGGTAGGATCACACAACAACAGCACAGCACAACAACAACTCTCAACACAAAACTGAAATGTGGGAAGACATTGTCGGGGCATGTCGGTTAAACCATTTGGCGCTATTGTCCCATTTTGTTTGCTGATTTCCCCCGACCATAACTTTTATGTTGCCATTATAATTAGGCTCAAATTGCTGCACTTTGCTTTGCATTTTAATTACTCAACAACGGCTCGAGAGGAGAAAGGCATCTCGGAAATGTTGCACAATTTAAGCGAGAGTGAAAACAAAAACAGAAACGAAAACGAAAACAAAAACAGACCGAAGGGAGCATCGCTAACAAGTTGCTGCCTTTGCGTCTTTGCTTCTTTGCCTCGCTGCCTTGTCGTGGGCTGCCTGTCCTTCTGTCACTCCCGAAACACTCCTGCCACGCCCCTCGTCCTTACGCGCCCCAGTCGTCAGTGTAGCATTTCAAGCAAAGTATTTAATTTCCACATCATACACACGGCCGCCCAGGCAAACAATGAGGGGCGAAAGCATAAAATGTGTGCCAAGGCGAAGGCTGCTGGCTGTTGCTCCATTCAACTTGCCACAAGACATGCACTGAGAAAAGCTATGGTCCAGAAAACCAATCCAACTCCAACATAGTTGGAGTAAAATCCAACCGAGAAGCAAAACTGAAATCCCTAGTAAGTTAGTGAAGAAAGGTCGCTTTTTTTCCAGTTTCCTACCAACTGCCTCATCAGTAATTGCAAAAGGTAGCCCAAAGTTGCCACAAACAAAACTTGCCACACAGTCTTGGCGCGCTTGAGTTTCTTTGTATTTGCAAGAAGTGAAAAAATGCATAACAATTTATAATAAAAGACACATTACGCAACCCCAAATTAAAGACCCCCCAGATCCTCGACTTATTCTTGCTGATTTTTTTGAACATCTTGTTAGTTACGATGTTTATGCTTTCTTTCCAATGACAGGGAACAGTTTGTCTCCAAAACAAACTTATTTTAACTAATCGAAAAACCCGAACTGCTTATATATAATTTATATTTTTAATATATTAAAAAAATGTTTGGTTCCGGATTAATGAAGCTTGACTTAATCCACAGTAAAAACTCTATAAGAAACCATATTATTAAAATAATTATGAAATAAAAGTTCATAAAGGAAGAGTACAAAAATCATGTAATTTATTTGAAAACTTAAAATCCTTTAAATCATCCTCTTCAAAAACAGCAAATGGTTGCCGGAATAAGGATCAAACAAATATTGGATCGCCTACTTAATTTTCGTTGCATTTCCAATGCGAAAAAATTTTAAAAATTTATAATACAACACACAAGTTGTGTGACACAACACAACATTAAAGAGCACTAGATCCTGGACTAATCCTGGCAGAACTTCACGCAGTTCTTCAAGCTCCTAAAGTTGTTTCCGCCTGAAGCACAACCTCTATAGAAGAATGAGAAACACTTTCTTGCATCTGGGTTGTAATGGTATCTGTTATATTTAAAGCCACACATTCCTTTGTCTATAGGCTCTCCGCATCGGGCTTTTTAAAAAAATGAGGAAAAAATTAAATAAGCGGAGGCTAGACAAAATTACTTACGATGTTTCAGCTGTCTTCCCATCGATAGGACAATTAAAAAGGTAGTAAAATAAAGAAACAACAAGGAATAGTTGCTAAATGAATTCCCGAACAAACCCATTTAACCTAAATTAAAATATTAAACGGCTAATATGTATACTTATCAAATATATTTAAAAAATTGATTAGTTCAGCTTTAATGTAGCTTTAAGTATTTAACATACCTATCTACAGTAGAACCCCTTTGAGTAAACCAAATATATATTTTAATCAAAAGTTTTAAAAAATAAACAGGAAACCTGTTTAAAAGAACTTTAATGTATCCTTTTTCTTGTTAGCACTATTTTATATACACAGCCGGCTTTCCCGGTTTCCTGCCATTTTATTGGTTTAATTTTGTCACGTTTCGGCTGGAGAAAGTGCCGCCGGAGAAAAGAAAAGTGGAGAAAACGGCGAACAGACAGACAGCACGACAGGCTAGAGATTTTTGCAAATCATTTCCATTTTAGTGTTTCGTTTTCGCCCGCCTCTTGCGAATAAATATAAATAGCAAAATTTACCATTTTGTGCAGCGACTTTCGAAAGTTTTCACCGAAACTTTTCTTTGGGGCACTTATTTGTCTTTATTTCTGGCATGGAAGCAAGGAAACTGGTTTTATGACATTCAAATCAATTTCCAGCCCGGCTTAGGCCCTTAAAGCTGATGTTGAGTTAAGGATTTGTGTGCATTCAAAAGTATATCCTTTATGTGGTGGGCGGGTAAGGTGGCTTGGAGGTTAGTGGACCAATGACGTTGACCTGCTGCCAAGTCAATAAATTCTCATTGCCTAAGCCATAAATCAGCATCATGGCGCGCTAAGTGTCATTTTTTGTGACGTTCGGATGGCTTTTTACCTGGCCATACAAGGGGAAGGCGGAAAAAGAGACTCGAGGGGGAAAAGTACACTGAGAAAAGTGTTTTTAAAGGTGAAAGTATTAAATTCAAAACCTTTAATAGCACTTCCAAGATGGAGTTTCAAACATGAAAACAAAGGTCGCATGAGTAATGTATTGTCAGAATCAGCGTCCCTCAATTCCTCGTATTTTTCTGCAGTGCACATTGGCCAGGATTGGATCTGCTACTGGCAGCTCCACAATGCGCGTTATAATTTACACCTGGCGGAAAGCGAACGGTAACGGCAGCCAACAACCTCAACCACTACAACTGTCATTTGACCTTAACCAGACTTTGGAGCAAGGTTCGAGGGTTAAAAGGGCAAACGGAAAGGGCTGTGGGTGGGCGAGAAATCTTTGTTGCGGTTGCGGTTGGCTGATTGTGCTCCGGAATCCGTTTCCCAGCTGGCCTGGCTGTTATAGAGTGGCGCGTTATATATTTTACTCAAAATCGCAATTGCTTGATTTGAAAATTGTCAACTGACAAAGTGGCACGGTGGGAAGGTGTCAGGGGTCAGAGGCCAGCAGTTGGAGACTGAATTTCTCCCTGTGATTGATGCCTTCAATTAAACTATTGGCCATAAATTGGAAGGGTTGGGGACTGCTTAGAGTTGGAGTTAAATTAAGCGAAATAGGATCACGTATATTTGTTCTGGATATCCCTAAAGTTCATTAGGTTTCCTCAGACCCTGTTTGTGCTTTTTACGTTCCAGATTCTGCAAATCGATGGACTGTAAAAGGACTAATAAAATGTTCCAATTAAGCCCGATGCGATCAATAAGGACACAGTCGCCGGCAACTTAAAGCTTTGCTCTTATTGAAAGCCCATCTATCTGGCTCTTACTGGCAGTCGTTTCGCGCACCCCCCGCCTGCCTGCTACCCCCCTCGCCCATTGCTCCAGGCAGCTGCGTTGATTGCCGTAACAGCTTTTGAAATTAAGTCGCTGCAAGTCGGCCATGGTTAAGGGTAGAGAGGCAGGGCAGGGTTCCAGGACCAGGGGACATGACTGGCAAGATGGAATGAGGCTCGTAGTAAGTTCATACACAGGGAAAAAGGCTCATTAAAGCCTTTAATTTTCAACACGATAGTATCTATAAAAGTAAATAAATAAATACTCAATAAATATTTAATTGCCATTTGTTATCAAAATACTGATCGAATTACAAGGACTTTGTCCCAATTATTGTTTCGCTTTTTTCCGTGCAGGGCCACACACTTGCACAATTGACGCAATTGCAACGATACTTTGATTTTATTTCATTTGCTGGCAACATCTGAGAGAGGATGCCACGGGGCTAGGGGCGAAAGGGGGCGAGGCAAGGGGATTGAGTATAAAATGCAGGCACCAGTGGAGAGGAGGAACATCCAGCCGGCGAAACAGTTGCCAATAAAAATTGCATTGAAAACGCTTAACCAAGCAGCGTGCATCAAATTGATTTCATGCTCCTCCAACGTTGACTGTAGTTTTACAACGTGCATCATCCTCGATACAACACATACACACACAAAGACCCACTCGCACCTATTTTCGCAGATAGCGAGAGCCCCAAAAAATATGCTACGCTTCCCGAGTCGCACAAAAATATTGTCTGTCAATATTCGAATACCGCACATCGCAATCCTCACGACCCCGCACTCACCCTCGCCCGATCCACCGAGAAGAGAACAAAACAAAAAAGAAACCCCAGCCCAGAACAAAACCACCCGAAAAACCATCGAGAAGCGAACGGTAACGAAATGTAATTTTTGTTTTCCCTCCCCATCACCCAAAATGTGATGGGGGAAAATAAATAAAAACATGCAGCCCCCTGATGGAGGGAACGGCACTGCGAACTGTGTTTGCCCTGGTCAGTTCTCCGAAAACATTAGCACTGAAGAAATATTAAACGAATGTAAACTAAAATACCAGTTTTTGTGGCACAACTTTAATCATAATTCATTCCAAAAGAGTACATTCTTAAAGAACCCTTTTAGTTTCTGACATAAAGATTAGGTTTAAAAACGGACAAGATTATCACCCAATCCCTGGTCTTAATCCTTTCGTATGTAAAATTAAAAAAAAAACATTTATACAAACAATCCTGGCGAGGTAATCGCCTTTACACAAGCTATTTTGATTTTGAAGTTAATGCGTTAAATGCTCACTTTACCTATTTTCCTGCTGTTTTTCCTACTGTTTCTATCGAGCCATCAAGTATTCCCTGAAAAAATGTTGCTCGAAGTGTTAATGCCACAGTACAGAGTAGTAAGAGGGGAAAGCAAAATTGGCATGCGTGAAAAACGTGAAAATTGCCGCCGTTGTTTTCGATTTTTACGCTCAATCCCTCAATCAGCATCACCACCTCTGCAGCCTCGCTGCTCTATCCCCGCCTCGGTCCTGGCTCCGGACTACGGTCTTCAGGCCCCCACTCCACCACTGACGGATGCCAACAAATTCACGGCGCCAAAGAGGGAATTCAGTTATCCTCGCATGAGACTGGCGCATGCCTTTAAACTTGTTATTTCAAGGATATGCACAGCACTCCGGTTTGAAATTCATTCCAAGGCCCAGACCGAAAACTGACAATCGCGGCGGCTTTGGCAACAATTTGGCTCTGGCCCTGGCTCTGTGTTGTTGCCAGATTTCTTTATCTGAACATAAGCATCGAATAAGAATGAACTACATACATGGCATACATGGTATCGGTACGTGTGTATGTGGGGCATGATTCGCGCAGCATCATATCTATTCAATTTGCAACTCTCAGCATTGTTTGGCATGTTTAGCAGCTCACTGAGCAATTTGCAATGCCAAGCCGGAGCGAGAGCCAAAGCAGTTGCCAATTGCAATGTGAAACTTGCCGAAAAAATGCGCTTGATCCGAGCTGAAGGATATGCCACTGAGCAGTAGGCACTTACGCATTTATGGGGCACTAGTCCGATTCCCCACTCAAAGGATAAAGGTATGTAAGCTGCTGCTTAACCCGTTGTTTTCGAGTGCCCCAATCGATCGTAAAATTTCATTATTATGGCAAAGTAATGCAACTGCCAGCGCAGCTGGAAGTAAAGTACTTGCATTCACTTAAAAGGATATAGGGGGCAAAGGAAAAGTTTACATGAAAAGGATATCGAACAGTTAAATTCTAGCCACGATTAGTGAATCATTTGGCCATGACAGGTGAACTCTCACACGGTCCCCAGCCCCGGGCAGCACACAAACACATCAATCAAACCATACAGAGTCACTTACAGAGTGAGATGTGGTGCAACAACAGTCGAGTGGCAGTGGCAACCTTCGGAGAATTCAGCCACAAATTGGTTGTGGCAATCGATGGCTAATCGAAGCAAGCCCTCAAATGCGAGACCCGTGTGTGGTGGCAGCGCTGAAGTGTCAATGGCAACATTCCATAAAGCACAACTGACACCTCGGGCAGCTACTCCACCCCCCTTTAGCAACTCGCTTCCTGTTTCCTTGTGCAACTGAATTTGATTTAAGGCCGAACAACTACTGGATTTCCCATCTAAAAAAAATGGCAGAAAAACGCGACTGGCGTGAAAAACTGAAACACTCCAGCCGAACACACGCACACCCAGTTAACACCCAGCTGGGGAGAGGCTGGGGAGGGGAGTGGCGCGTCAAAGTCAGTCAAAGCGAAGGCAAAACCTTTAGTCAAGTTTGAAAGATTGATTAGTTTTTAACAACTTGTGACTGGAGAAAGGGGAAAGGGTCTCGTTCGAGTCCTAGATCTACTTCAGGGTTTGCATTCCAGTTCACAACTACACTGCGGAAAGGGCAGACTCTGCATTGAGTTATAGACCACAAGATAGCCAAGCTTTTTATCCATAAACCTAACATTTTGTTCCGTGTAGATCCCAAATTCAACACGTGCAGAGCAAACGCCATTGGAAAGAGGAGGAGCCTGGCAAGGATGTTGGCCAAACAAGGCCGGCGAACGATAGCAATTAGCCAAAAACGAAACCATCTGCAAGCAAAGTTGCCAAAGGAACTACAGAAAGCGGTCCTGTGTTCCTGTTTGTGTCAGAAAACTCCATTTGGATTATGAACCGAGAGCGGCCATTCAATGCCTTGACACAGACTCGACACTAAATCGTTGCATTCCCACTTTCACTCCGGTTGCCAATGCAAGTGGCGACCGGTTGCATATCGAATCACATTTAATATTTGCATTCGAAATGT